AAACACTGGCTCTAGATAAGGCTTTTCGCGAGTTCTGCAAGCATCGTAGTTTCTCCTATATGCTTGGAAGGGGAGAGTTAGGTGAGTTGGTTGCAATCTGCAACTACACCACTAGATTACTTTCATATATCTATTTTAATTTCCTTCCTGTACTCCTGAATATTAATGAATAATCACATTCACTGTCACAGACCAATCTCTGTTGTTCACAGACTCATTCATAAAATTCATCAGTTATTAGTACTTTTATCTCTTTCTATCAGAACCAGCTACTTTTTCAGCAACAAGAGCTGCAGCGTTGGAGATGCTCTGACCCAGTTGTCTAGCCATCACAATTTGGCACTTCTCAAAGTTGCTCAAATCCTCACGTGCCCTACTGGCCATGGTTGATGTCAAACCCTGCCTTGGGTTGAGTCTGACCAATCAGAAGCTGAGTAGGTAAGGTCTTTATGGAATGCTGGTGGACACAAAAATAATGTGTGTGTGTGACAACTGATCTCAAAAGCATTGCACCATGGAATAACATGAGACTGACCCAACAAAAAAAGGTGAAGTGAAGACGGTAATGATCTCAATCACATAACTGTGGTACAGAAGTTAATCTTGAACTGAGCAAAGAATCCCTGGACAACAGAATGTTGATTCCTGCATGAACAAAGTTAAAGAACCGGGGACTTCTGCTACTGCAAAGTCTGTGGGATGACAATAAATGGCTCAGATAAGAACTGGGTAAAGTGAGAGAAAAGACAGGACTGTATTGGAAACTGCATACTATACTATCAGTATGTACTGATTTGGCCAGAATGTAGCATGTAGTATGCATTATGCAAACAAAAGCAAAATCTGCAGTATGCCAAAAAATACTTGGATGCGTACTGATGTGGAACAAATCTCCAGTACGCATTGGACCAGTCTACCTGCCAGCGAGCCTGGTTCCTTCCAATTGTCAGATAGGCATTACTCATCCCTCAGAGAAATGTTAATCTTTGGATCTATTTATAACTTACATTATTTACGTTTTTTTTTATAACAACACAGTAGCGGTGGCTTGTCATTAGCCGTGCTAAATACTTCTTTCCGAAATCAGAAACCAGCTGAACCTGGTCTAGCATACTGCAAAATAAATCCATTTAACAGGTTTATGCTCCATAGTATGAAAAGCAGTATGCCGCATGTACTACATAGGGCACACTGTGTTGGTCGGTAGTATGTAGTAGCAAGGACGAAATTTTGATTTCAGAGGTGGGGGGGGACGCAATATTTTTTTTTTCCCTTTTTTTAAGTAATTTTTTTTGGCCTTTTGATG